ATGAGGAGGAAAATATGTGTTAGCTGGTGGTAAATCTTTCAGATACAGTCTTTTTTGCAAGAATCATACTCACAGCTTTTTCAGTTTGAAGAAGCATACTGGGTTTTAGTTCTTTGACATAACGTTTAAGAACTGGAGCCATGTGATCCTAGAGCAGAGGTCAGTTACATTTTTTTTAAAAATGTAAAAACTATTCTTAGCTCGTGGGCCATATAAAAACGTGTGGTGGACTATATTTGGTCCCCTGGCCTTGGTTTACTAACCCCGGTCTAGACGATGAACTATGCCATCCACTTCCTGGTAGGGAGGTAATGATTTGAAGTGCAAAATGAGATATGCATTTTTTAGATATTCCCAATGTCAGGATTTATTTTGCTTAACTTTGCTTATTTGTTAAAAAGGTTTTCTTTTTTTTTTTTCCAATTTGGAAGGAAAAGAAAGGGAAGAGGGTCACTGACACAATTTTTAAAATGTACAGAAAACAACAGGCTATGTTGTTCTTGTTCGTCCTTTGTTCTCAAAGAGGACCACTGACATCAGGTCAGAAGAAAACAATGAAGTGGGGCAGTTTAGAAAGTTAACGTGTTGAATTTATTATATACTTACAAGGAAAAACAAGCTGTATATAACAGAGGTTTAGTTTCATATGCAATCTTTTTCTAGTCTACTTTGTATATTAGAAATGCTCATTTTATTTGGTGTTTAAGTTCAGAAGTTTTTAAAAGTTAAAATAAAATAACAATGGCCACCTCTAAGCTATGAGGATGTGCAGGATAGGACTTCTGTTATAAAGCTATATTCTTTTTAATCTTAGTGCCCATCACAGTGCATAGTATCAAATGGATTCTCAATCAATATTTAATGATAATTACTGTCTTATAAAGTATTTCCTCTTCAGGTCAGCATCAAAAGCTTTAATTACAATTAAAGAAATTGTGAAAAGTACAAAGCACTCAAAATTAGTTGTCAATTAATTTACATAGCAACCTTTTTCTCACAAAAGAAATTTTTATAAAATAAGAGAATTTACTGCTTTAGTGTTTTTTGTTTTTTTAATTTTGGTCTCTTGTTTTTACAATCACCTAATTTCCTCTCTACATCCCTTTTCCCAACACCTCCAAGAAAGTCATCCCATGTAACAAAGAATTTCCTGCTTTAGATATAAGTTTAAAAAAAAAAAAAAGAGGGGAAGACTATTTAGTGATGAGAATCCTGTTACAAAAGTGACATTTAGGGTGAGGAAAGAAAGCTAAGGCAGGGTCATCCTGGTGGCTCACTCAGCTATACTGCTATACACGATAGACCCTTCTTAATTTACAGAGTTTTCACTTAATTATTAATTTACAAAGCTTTCATTTAATTATCAAGGGACTAATGAGAAGCTTCCCATGCCAGTTTTTCTTCCATCTAATATAGAGATAATGGCTGATAGGTTGTGAAGGGTGTATCTTCAGTTAGGGCAGTAACCAGGATGGTGTAAGAGGAAAAGAATGAATAATAGCCTTACGGTTTTCACCAGAATACAGGACTAAGAAAAGCACCAACTCAACAGTTTCCTATATATACAGAAGGATAAAAATTGCAAAAGCTGAGAGACTTTCACTGTCACCTCTTATCTTAGGTTAATGACCTCCCAGACACATGGAATAATTGCATAAAAACTATGTTCTTCAGCTATAACTGTGTAAATTGCAGGAAGAGGATCAGGTAGGGAGTTACTCTAGAAAAAGGTGAGGAAATTGTTTTGTAAAACTTAAAGTAATACATAAATCTGAGCCATTATTGCTTTTGCTAGATAAATGGCAGAAGCAGTCCAGCTAGTATGAACCTTTTAAGTGTGCTAAAGAGGTCCTAAGCTGGGTCCACAAGGTCTGTCCATCTTTGTTGTCATCTCTTCCAGAATAAACAGGATAACGATTATCTCATATCCAAGATAGCTACAAATGACTCAAAAAACAAGGGAAAGAAGTTAAGTTCTATACAACAGTGATTTTTAGTATTATCCTTTGGGAATTACAGGGCTTAAAGAATATATTTATCTTTTAAATTTTACTCTAACATTCTTAGATGCTCAGGTTTCAAGGCCCGGAAAAACAATGCTTGGGAGTTTCCCAAGCTCAAGAGTTTGAAACACACATGGTGTTTGTTAGGTCTGCATCACCAGGTGGTTCATCCTCTCACAAAATATTAATTCTCCAGATGATAATAGGTAGCACTTATATCGTTTCAAAGTGCTTTACACAGGTTCATCTCATTTGGTCCTCACAACAACAAAGTGAGGTAGGGGCTTAATTATTCTCATTTTACACAAAAGGAAAGTGATTTACCCAAAGTCACACAGCTAATTAGTGTTTGAAGGATTTGAATCCAAGTCTTCCTGACTCCAATTTGGGTTCAGTCTCACTTTGGACTTCAAATCAGGTGCTCTTTCCATTATACTCCAGGTCACTTCACTCTTGGCTCTTTATCTTTCCCCTCCTCTCAAATCTTTTTCCCAGCTTTCTCATTCAAGACTTCTATAAAACATTGCCTGCTTGAAAAACGATGGATCTAGGGGCTTACTTATTGAGTAGAAAATTGATGCTATTCTGTATTATATATTGTAAGTAAGGTGAATTTTAGTGTTAGTGATGAGGATTTTGTTATTCTTTTTAGATAATAGTTCCAGGATCCTAGATATTTCCCATGAATTATGGTTGAAACCATCTCCACCATGCTTGCATTGTGAGATATAAGGATGACATGATGTACGCCTGTGCTGTACTAGATCAGGATATTGCTAAAGTTAACCTGTGAGCTTAATGTTGGCAAGATGCCTTCTTTGTCTGTTGCCCTATAAAGCAAATAGGCAATGGTCAGTGAGGGGGGAACCCATTTTGGGATTTGGGTAATACATGGAAGAATGCATGTACCTGCTTTGATCAGCCCCCATCAAGACTTAGGGGGAATCTGTGTTTGCCTCAACCAGCCCCCACTGAGTCTTAGGGGATGAGGAGTTGTACTCCTATTCTTACCCACACCTGAGAGAAGTGAGCTTAAGGAATGCTGTAGAAGTTAGTGCTCCCATTAACAGCAACCCTATTGAGAAGACTAGACTAGAATAAAGTAAGCTTATTTAACCCTCTGAAGTTGTCTTCCTGTCTGACTGGATCAAAAATGAACCTGTGCTAGAATACCTGGTAGTGTTAGGAGCCCTCCTGTGTTCCCCTACCCAACAAATGGTGTTACCTGTGAAACATATATTCAGCACTTTTACTTTCTAATTGGTATTCTCTCTTAAACATTAGACAGAATATGTTCCTAATCTTGCTGTAAATGCCTTGGGAGCAGGAATTGGACCTTCGGAAAAGAAATAAAATAATAACTAATATTTCCATAATTCTTTAAGGCAGGAGTTTTTGACCTGGAGGTCTATGAACTCAAAAAAATATGAAAACTGTATTACACAATAACCAAAATCCTATGTATTTTGTTTTGTGAGATGTTCTGACAGTAGGGTCCATAGCTTCACAAGAACGTCAAAACAGGGCACAAAGAAGGTTAAGAATCCCTGCTTTAAGGTTTAAAAGCTTTTCCTCATGCCAATCCTGAGAGTACTATTAGATCACATTACAGAAGTAGGTATTTTTATACACACATGTATATGTATGTATGTATACACATGTATATCTGTATATATGTATGTTGTTCAGTTGTCTGACTCTTCATGACCCTGTGGGCCAACTGTCCATGGGGTGTTCTTGACAAAAATACTGGAGCAGTTTGCCATTTCCTTCTCCAATATTAAAAAGCCAGGGATTAAGTGACTTGCCCAGAGTCACACAGCTAGTAAGTGTCTGAAGTCACATTTGAACTCTAATCTTTCTGACTCCAGGCATAGTGCTCTATCCACTGTCCCACCTACAACAACTGTATATGTGTGTATATATGTGATCAGCAGAAATAGAGGTTCAAATCCTGTCTCTGATACTTAATAACTTTAATTTTAACTAAGTTACAAATATAGTATAATATATGAATATTATGACATACATATATGTATTGTATATTACATATTATATATCATACATACACATATACCTAAGTACATATTGTATAATATACATGATGTAATGCAATACTATATATACATGTGTGTATATATAATACCCATATGTATTGATGACTTAGTTAAAATTAAAGTTAAGCATCGGAGACAGGATTTGAATGCTTATCTCTGCTGACCCCAAGTCCAGCGTTCTTACTCCTGGCCTCTCTACCTCTGGACATTTATTTTCATCCTGGTGCATGTTCTTATCCCTTTTGGTCTGTATTACTGACACAGCAGATGATGACTTGTTAAAATTGATAAATAAATAATTCACATTCATATTGTTTGCTGTTTTAGATGCCTTCCTCACAGCAACTTTGCTCGTCGAAAGGTGGAAACTTTTATCCTACTTTTATAGATGAGGAAACTGAGATTCAGAAAAGGGTGCTTCAGATTCTTTGGGGAATTTGGATAATGATAGCTATGATTATGATGGTTATTAGATTATGGGACATATATAGCGTTTGCTCTGTGTCAGGGCTTGTGCCCAGTGCTCTACAATTATCTCGATAGCACCAACATCTGCTTCCCCTCTGAATGAGATCACGGTCATCCCAGTATAGGGCCTGCAAGGATAAAGATGGGGAAACCCTTCCTTTACTTTCATAGCAGCAGCTTCCGGTCACTGCTTCCAAACTCAGCTGTAGCTCCCGGATGACAAGAATTTATGCCCCGCCCCGCCCTAGACAAAAGACTACACATCCCATCATGCCACGCTCTCGCCCCCGAGCTTGACTACATACACTGGCATGCAGTGCACTGCCTTTTTCCTAACAGGGCCGCTTCCTTCTCCACCTTGGAGATGTCTTATTAGACCCGAGCCCGGATGCACGTAGTCGGCTCCTCCACCCTATAGTACGGGGAAGCGGGAGCACCGCGGAGACAACGTCATCGCGCTGACGTAAGGGTGGGGCTCTGACCTTGCTCTTGACTTTTCACTCGCTGCTGTCCCTCCTGGGGCTGCCCCGCGCTCCGGCGCTCCGCCTCCTCGTCTCGGTTCTGGTCAGCTCAGCCCTCCATGGAGAAGGTTGGCGTAGTTTTCGGCGGCTCTCGGGGCATCGGGAAGGCGGTGGCCCAGTTAATGGCTCAGAAGGGGTACCGGTTGGCAATCGCGGGCAGGGACTTGGAGGTCGCGAAAGCCGCTGCTAGGGACCTTGGGGGTAGGTATGGCGGGGGGGGGCTGAGTCCACGTGGATCACGCGCCCGAGGGCAGAGAGGGCGGGGCATACGACTGACTGGTGGTGCTTCACCTTCTGACCTCCGACCCCTGGTTGCCCCGCCCTCCTGCCTTGGACATCCTATGCACCATGTGATAATGAAGCGCCTACTGTGTAGGATGCTCATTTACCCCCTTTAACAAACAACCCCCTTTCACTGGAGGAGGCCGCCCTCCTTCCATGTCCGCGCCCTTGGACTCATTCATCTTCCAAGCCCAGAGGTCTTTCCATTATTACGATCAAGTCACAGGTCCTGTTCTCTTCCCTCTTCTTCACCTCTTTCCCCCACATCCAATCCAAGTCTTGTCCAGAACATCTCTGGGGTTCAATCCAGTAAACATTAAATGCCAACAAAGTGCCAGGTACTGTGCTAAGTGCTGGGGATTCAATTAATTGAAAGACAATCCCTGCCCTCAAGGAGCTTACAATATAAAACGGGAAACAGCACACAAAAAGGAGCAGGAAAAGTGTCGCCTCTACTCACACCACAACCACCTTGATTCAGACCCTTACCTTCTCTTTCCTGGACTGTTATAATAGCTTCCTGATTGGTCTCCCAGCATCTAGCTTTTTTTTCTTCTTCCCTACACAACTGTCAAATTGATGGATAAGGAACTCAAGTGGCTCCTAAACTTCTAAGATAAAACACAAACTTTTCTTATTTTTCTGCTTGTCATTTAAAGGTTTTCATAACCTGGCTTCAACTTTTCTTTCTAGAGGGGTTTTGCACTATTCTTTCTACCAGAAGTAGTGAACCTTACTCAGTCACATGCCCTCCCCGGCTTCCATCCTTTTGCACAGGTTGTACTCTGTGCCAGCAATATTTTCCCTGCTTATCTCTTCTTGGAATCCCTAGTTCCCATCGGAGTTCAGCTCAAGGACCACCAGAGGCAGTTCAGCTTGGATCCTGAGCTCCTTTGAGGGCAGGGATTATTTTCATTTTTATCATTTCATTTTAGGAGCCGACCACAGTGCCTGGCATATAAGTTTGATAAGTCCTTTTTGAATTGAAGGCACTGTGCTCACAGTTGGGGATATAGAAATAATAAAAAATGATCCAACTAGTGCCACCAAGCAGTTTACATTCATCACTGTTGAAATCAGTGCAACAATTTAGAGAGTGGGGAGGGGGGTATATTTAGAGCAGGAGTGGGAAATCTGTCACCTGGAGGCCACATGTGGCCCTCTAGGTCCTCAAATTTGGCCAGTTGACTGAATCCAAACTTCACGGAACAAATCACCTTAATAAAAGGATTTGTTCTGTAAAGCTTGGACTCAGTCAAAAGGCCGAACCCAAGGACCTAGAAGGCCACATGTAGCCTCAGGTCAGAAGGTCCCTACCCCTGATTTAGAGGATACAGTTCCTCATTTCGACACTTGAGAGAGTCAAGTTGGTGAAGGTAATAGGGGCAGCTAGGTGGCCTAATGCAGAGTCAGGAACCTTGAGTCAGGAAGACCTGAGTTCAAATATTGCTTCTGACACTTAGCTGGGTGACCTTGGGTAAGTCACTTAACTGCTATCTGCCTCAGTTTCCTCAACTGTAAATCCAGCTAATAATAGCATGTTAGCTGTTCATCAAGATAGTGTAATAGAAAGTGTAATTAGATTTGGAGGTAAGAACTGTGTTCATAGCTTGACTGCTACTAACTTTTTATCATTCTGGGCCTATTCTTTCATCTGGTTGAAGATATTCTGTACAGCCCCTTGTACCTCTACATTCTGTGATTGTTTTATTCACAGAGTATTTATAGCAAGAGAAGTTCAAAATTTAATTGCTAATTCATTTTGTACTTTTGGTGCTTTACTCACAATATGTCTTATGTGAAGGTAGTACAAGATAGTAAGAAGATATGTAAATTGAGGCCTATAAAGATTGAGTGATTTACTCTAGATCACACAGCTAATAAAAGTCAGAATCAGGGTTCCTACCCAGGTCTCCAGAATTTAAGTCCAGAGTTCTTTCTATTAAACTGTAATTACTATATAGGCCTTACCCTCACAAAGATTTCAGTTTAGAAGGGGAATGAAATTGGCCCAAAGATTAGTAGGGTACACAATAATGTATGGTATGATGTGTCAGTTTTAAGAGGGAAATCAAGATCTGTACCATACCAAACTACCAAAAAATTGTAGAGCTAGAAAAAATAAAAACAGAATTTATCTGGAAGAACAAAAGGTCAAGAATATCAAGGGAATTAGTGAAAACAAATGTAAAGGAAAGTGGCCTACCTATACCAGATCTCAGACTGTATTATAAAGCAATATTCATCAAAACTATCTGGTACTAGCTAAGACATAAGAATGGTAGATCAGTGGAATAGATTAGGTACACAAGATTCCACAGTAAATGACTAGTAAACCTAGTGTTAGATAAATCCAGAGACCCCAGCTTTGGGGATAATAACTCACTATTTGGCAAAAACTGCTGGGAAAACTGGAAAACAATATGGCAGAAACTGGGTCTACCACATGCCAAGATAAGATCAAAATGGGTACATGATTTAAACATAAAGTGTGATACCGTAAGCAAATTAGGAGAACAAGGAATAGTTTACCTGTCAGATAAATGGAGAAGGGAAGAATTTATGACCAGATGAAATAGAGAGCATTACTAGATGTAAAATGGACAATTTTGATTGAAAAGATTTTACACAAACAAACCCAATGCACCCAAGATTAGAAGGAAAGCAAAAAACTAGAAAATAATTTTTATAGCAAGTGTCTTGGATAAAGGCCTCATTTCTCAAATATATAGAGAACAGATTCAAATTTATAAGAATACAAGTCATTCCCCAGTTGATAAATGGTCAAAGGATATGAACAGACAGTTTTCAAATGAAGAAATCAAAGCTATTTATAGTCATATGAAAAAATGCTCTAAATCACTATTGATTAAAGAAATGCAAATTAAAACAACTCTGAGCTACCACCTCACTCATATCAGTTTGACTAATATGACAGAAAAGGAAAATAATAGATGTTGGAGAAGATGTGGGAAAATTGGGACACTAATGCACTGTTGGTAGAGTTGTGAACTGATCCAACCATTCTGGAGAGCAATTTGGAACAATGCCCAAAGGGTAATCAAACTCTGCCATACCCTTTGTTCCAGTAGTATCACTAATAGGTCTGAATCCCAAAGAGATTTAAAAGTGGGGTGGGGGGAAGGGAGAATGGACCTATTTGTACAAAAATATTTATAGCAGCTCTTTTTGTAGTGGCAGAGTTAGAAATTGAGTGGTTGCCAGTTGGGGAATGGCTGAACAAGTTGTGATATGTGATTGTCATGGAATATTCCTGCTATAAGAAATGATGAGTAAAGTGATTTCAGAAATCCTGGAAAGACTTAAATGAACTGATGCAAAGTAAAGTGAGCAGAACCAAGAGAATGTTGTACACAGCAATAGCAATAGTATATGATGATCAACAGTGAATGACTTATGTCTTCTCAGCAGTACAATGATCCGAGACAGTTCCAAAGGACTAATGGTGAAAAATGCTGTCCACTTCCAAAGAAAGAGCTGATGGAGTTGCAGATCAATGCAAACTATTTTTCACTTTCTGTATTTTTTCCTAATTTTTTTTCCTTTGGGTCTGTGTCTTCTTTCACAACATGACTGATATGGTAATTTTTTGCATGATTGAACATGTATGATGTATATCAAATTGCTCACTGGTTGGGGGGGTGAGGGAGAGAGAGAGAAAATTTGGAACTCAAAAATTTTTTTAAATGAATGTTAAAAATTATCTTTAAATGTAACGGGAAAAAAAATTGAAAAAGAAAATGTAGGGTAGGAAATAAAAATAATGGTAGTTTTTTTTTAAATAAAGAAAAGAGGGAAATCATGGAAGACTTCATGTAGAAGGTGGTTTCTACATAAGGACAATTGAATCAGCTTTAAAGAAAAGGGAGAAATTTAACAAGTGTAAGGGGGAAGGGAAGCCATTTTAGATATAGGAATTAGCATAACCAAAACATGGCGGAGAAGTACTAGTTGTTTTTAGAGTCACATGATGAAGCAGTGAGGTGGCTCAGTGGATAGAGAATCAGAAAGATTTGAGTCAAATCATATTTACTAGCGGTATGTCCCTAGACAGGTCACTCTGTGCCTCTGCCTTAGATTCTCCCACTGTCAAATGGGGGTAACACCTGACTCCTAGGTAGGTTGTGGGAATCAAATGAAATTTGTAAAGCTCTTAACATGATGCCTGACACATAGTAGACAAAAGTGCTTGTTTCCTTTTCTTCAAGACACTGAGGAATCCAATTTGGTTGGAGCTTAGAGAACCTAGAGAATAGTAATACAAGGTGAAATTTGTGTATAGACCTTTTTGTATTGTCATGTCAACTTCAGTGTCTTGAACAAAATTAGTGTTTGCTGTATTAAAGTGTTTATTGATCAGTGTGGCCATTTGAAAAGACAGTAGGGAGGAAGAGTGGACTAGAGCTAGGAAATCTCCAAGTTGGCAAGGACCTCAGAGGTAGTTCAGTTTATCCCCTATCTGAACAGAAACCCCGTCTACAGTAACAACCCAAGAAAGCTTAAAAGACCTCTTTATTTCTAGCCAAAATCTCTCAAAAACTTCCACGCATTGCTCGATGAAGTAATGCATGTAAGCTGTAAAGCTGTTTATAAATGTCAGTTATGATTATGATTATTACTTCTGGTTCTGCTTGCTGGAGCCAGGCAAAACAGCTCCAGTCCCTCCCTCTCTCCCCCATGACCAGCCCTTTAGATTCTTAAAGATAGCTCTTATGTTCGTCTTAAGTCTTTTCTCCTCCAGGCTAAATAGAGACAGACATAAAAGACATTTGAAAGATTAGTGTAGAAAAAATGAGAGTGAAACGCATAGACAAATGAGTAGAGACATATGAGTGACCAAGAAAGAGGTAGAGAGAAACAGAGTAAAAAGAAGAAAAGACAGAAAACTGTGTAGGCTGGTCTTACGTTGAATATTTAGGTGGTTGTTGTTCACTTGTTTCAATCATGTCTTACTCTTTGTGACCACTTCAAAAATACTGGAATGGTTTGCCATTTCCTTCTACGGCTTGTTTGATAGATGAGGAAACTGAGGCAAACAGAATAAAATTACTTCCCCAAGGTTACACAGCTAGTAAGTATCTTAGACTAGATTTGAACTCAGGCCTTCCTGATTGCAGGCTTGATGCTGTATCCACTGCACCACCTAACTGTCCCCAATTAAAATGCTGACATCTTGAGCAAGGATGCATTAAGCCAAGAGCAGTCTAGTTTATGGGCTAGTGGGGTTTAGTTTATCTGCTTATTTTGACTGCTAACTGAGATGATGGCTTCTCCAAATAGATTCATTTTGGTAGGAAAGAAGGAGAGGTAAGATTGGTGAAGAGTGGGCATGTGGAATGTGGGTGGAGAGAAGGTAGCAAGAGGATCCCGGGAGAATATGGTGGCAAGAGGGAGAGGGAGGGCACAGAAGTAGGTGTAGAGAATGATCAGGGAACTGGGGAAGACAAAGACTGGACTTTAGTCTCAACTTTATCTTTGACTTGGGGCAAAATATGTTATATCTCAGAGCCACAGTTTCCTCATCTTTAAATGAAAGGATTCGCTTTGTCATATTGACCTTTGTTTTCAACAAAATAGTCACTGTGATTCAGCATAATAAATAAGTAAACAGACCTTCTGTAAGACTAAATAAATAATATTTCTTGCACATATATGTATTGCTATTTGTCAGACATGTAGATGCCATCGTAATGAATAATGAATAAGCTCCAAACTCATTTGAAAGTATTGCTGAATTTGTAGCTTTTTGTTATATGTTTCCTCTATCATAAACAGTATTTGTTCAATTAAATGATATTTTGAGAACAGGGAACTTTGAGATATTCCCTCATTGCTGTGAAACAAGCATCTAGCAGCATCTATGGCCTGTAATGGTCCAATCAGTCAATCAACTGACTTCTTTATATTTTGTCAGTTAATTTATTGACTACTGTATTTTGTCTTGGGACAAGTATTGGGATTACAAAGACAAGAACGAAACAATTACTTTTTAAGGACCCTACATTCTAATGGGGAGACAGCAAGTACATAGATAAATATATACAGAATAAATAGAAGATAATTAGGGAGAGAGGGCGCTGGCAGTTTGGGGAAATCAGGAAAAGCTTCATGTAGAAGGTGGTGAAGTAAGGAAGGAGGGCATCTTAGGCATGGGGGCTAGCCAATATAGAGATGGAGTAGAGTCTCATGTGTGAAGAACAGAGAGAAGGCCATTTTGGTTGGATTTAAGTGCAGGAGAGTGATGTACAATAAATCTGGAAAGATATGTTGAGACCATGTTATAAAAGGCTGTAGAAATTAAACAGGAGTTTGTTGATCACAGAGATGATATGGAGCCATGCGAATGGTAGAGTTGGGGGTCACATGGCCAGAGGCCTGATCTTTGGGGCTTAAGGGAAATTACGTTGGCTGTAATGTGGAGGATATATTGTAGTAGGGAGAGACTCAAGGCAGGGAGACAAGTTAGGCTGTTGTAGTAATCCAGGGGACAGGTGTAATAGCCTGAACTAAGGTGTTAATTATGTGATTAAGGAGGAAGGGTTTGGATGTAAAAGATGTTGTGGATATAGAAATAGCAAAGTTTGACAGCAGACTGAATATTGGGTATGAGGAAGAATGAGAAATTGAGTAGAATACTGATCACAAAGCTGTGACACAAGAAGGATGATGCCTTCAGTAGAAATAGGGAAGTCTGGAAGAGGGGTAAGTTTAGAGGGAGAAAGACAATGAATTCTGTTTTGGATATTTTAAGTTTAAGATTTGTCTCATGTGCAGCATAAACTTAAGTCCAGTAGGTAACAGCTGGAGATGTAGGACTGAAGCACAGGAGAACTTGGGCTAGATATCTAGATCTAAATAGGTAGTCCTAAATTCTTTAACTGAGTATGGGAAATTAAAAAATAACTATTAAATTTTGATATGTTGAGTCATTTTTGTTGCCCTTAAACTCCATTTTTAGTATGTAAAAGAGAATTTTTTAATTGGTTGGCATTTTTTGAGTGAATTAATTACCTAAATTCTCCCCAAGCTTATTACCAAAAACACTAAGATAAGTTTCATGAGGGCAGAGTAGTGTCTCAATTAGTTCCTTCAGGATCTAAAAGCATACTTTTAGCATCACTTGGTGGAACTAGACCTAAATTTAGAGAAGTCTAGCTTATACTAGACTATAATATAAAATATCATAGAATATAAAAGTAGTAATAACAATTTTTATAAGTTGAATTGAGTACAACGGGACCAAGATGTCCAATTAGCTAAGATTATAAAATTAACTTTAATAATCTCTTAGTTTACCGAAAAGTTACATATCTTTTAAAAATATGCCTTATGATGAAGCAGAGACCCTGGATAGTAGTACCTTTAAAAGTTCCCCTTTTAAAAAAAATTGAAATACTTCAAAAATACAAAACGTTATCTTCAAAATGTCACTTTATATTTGTGTAGGAAATCATTTGGCCCTTCGCTGTGATGTTGCTAACGAGCAAGATATTCAAAACGCATTTGAAGAGATGGAGAAAAAATTAGGTCGTGTTAATTTTTTGGTAAATGCAGCTGGCATAAACAGGTTAGTCTTTGATTTCTTTCAGAATCTAATATATGCTTGGTACATGTTATTTGTACATTTAACATAAGTTTAATTTTGAATTAACAGTACATCTAATTCAAACCTTTGAATGTTGACATAGTGAAATTTTGATTATCCATATTGATTATTTGCTGCCAATTGCTCAGCTTGGCTTCTGTTCCACCATCACCTTCATCGTGACCTGCCTGGAATAAACTCATCATCAGGATAACAATAACAATCATCAGGAAACTGATCATCATGGAGATTGCTTCAGCTTGGCAACTCACACCCTGTTGATACACTCAGTTGCTTCAGCCCCTCTGATTGGAGGGCTGCAGGGTGGTACAATAGCCTTTCTTTATAGAGGGCTCACAGTGTCAGCCATCTCTTCATTTGTTACCAGCTGCTCTGTCTGACTTTGATTCTACCATCATTTTCATCATGTCCCAGCTGAGTACCTTCTGATGTTTTGCACCCCTGCCCTTTTCAGTTTCCTTTTGTGTATTGTCTCCCTCTAGATTGTAAGCTCCTTGAGAGAAGGGACTGTCTTATTCTTATTTGTATCCTCAGCACTTAGCACAGTGGGTGGCACATAGTAGGTACTTAATAGATACTTGTTTCTTCTTTTCCTCCTTTCTATATGGGGTAACATAATCAAGTAATAGCTGTCCAATCCAGATGACCAACATTGGAAACTCTTATATGAAAGTTATAAACCCTAAGTGAATCATATTTTACAGAAAAATTTTATCTCTTGTTCTTTGTAGGGATGCCTTATTACTAAGAACAAAAACTGAAGATATGGTATCCCAACTTCACACTAACCTCTTAGGATCCATGCTGACATGTAAAGCTGCTTTGAAGAATATGATTCAACAACAGGGAGGCTCTATTGTTAACATAGGTGGGCTTATTCATTTTGAAATACCACACATTACAAGAAAGTTTGAGTTCTCACGCCTTTGATTTGAAGTGAATTTTTACATAGTTAGGCCTAAAGCTTATTTTTATACTCTTTATGCAAATAGGAGTTTGATAAATTAACAGTATAAGATTTCTAGGTCACTTTGGACTTTTTCAAAATACAAATAAAAGAGCACCTTTTTTGACATTGTAATGGAAGTGAGAAACTTCTAGTCTATAGGGCAAGTATCAAGCAGGAATATCATGAACACAAATTAATCTGCCAAATCCAACAATATATGGGCTTTGAAATGCAATTACCTTGACAGTTGTAAAAAAAAATAGTAATGCCCTTCTCATAGGTGTCCCAAAAAACGCAGCTCCAACCTCTGATCCTGTGATCTCTCCCTACTCTGTTCTTATTCTATCCTAGCTCAGTTCCTATCCTAGGCACGGTATTCACAAAAACAAAAACACTGGACAAATATTTATTAAACATCTGATTTGTATAACAAGGGACTGGGAAATACAGAGATTAATATAATGATTAATATAATATATTCCCTCAAGAAGCTTATAGGCCAGAAATGAAATAATATAATTTGATGTTTTTATTGAATAGAATTTTTAAATTTTCTATTACTATTAAATTTTAGTGCTTGGGATATTTTGTATTTTTTTCCTCTCGATAGTTTTCTTTTTCTCTCCTTCAGCATTTACCAGAACTTTAAATATAGTAGGCCCCTATCAGTGGTAGATCAATAAATGAAATGTCAAATAATAAAAGTTAGGTTTCTTTTTTCCTTGGCGCTTGGACCATTTTCTATGATCAGTGACTCTGGGTAGAAAAACATGTTTTCTACCTGTGCTTTAGAAAGATCTGTCTATGTATATACAGTTCAAATAAATCCTTCATATCTAATAAACGAGATCATCTGGAGACCCTGATAGACAATACAAGTTATAATAGGTCCTTGGAAGTAAATCCTGCTTTTTAAAATATATTACATTTCTTAAAAATATATCTATAATTCAGATTTCCTGTCTCTTGACATATCCTGGCTGTGTGACCATCTGCCTGTCATTTAACCTCTCAGTCACCATGAACTACTCTCTAAGACTTTAATTTGCAAACAAGTTGCTGATCTGCATTGTTAGAGGGAATTTCCTTACGAGGAGTTCCATACATTAATGAAATCACAGATCTGACCAAAACAACCTGAACAAAAACTCAATGAACTCATGTTAACCAATCCAAACTGAGATTTTTTCTTTATATAAGCCAGTTTCTACATCTATAATTCTAGTTGCATTAAAACGTCTTTAATTTTATGATTAAAGGCATTTTAATTAAACAATTATGTATTCTAATTGAGACAGTAAGGTGTTACAGTAGATAACTGTAACACTGGACCTGAAGTCAGGGAGACCCGAGTTCAAATTTGGCCTTAGTACTTAGTAGCTATGTGATCCTGGTGATCCATTTAACTTGTCTGCCTCAGTTTTCTCAGCTGTAAAATGGGGGTGATAATAGTACCTACCTCCCAGAGTTGTTGTGAGTATCAAATAAGGTATTTGTAAAGTGCTTGGCATGATAGATACTTAATAAACCTATCTTCCCTTCCTTCCTGTCAAGAAAACCTGGGTTTGAATCTTGCCCCTGGTAACACTGCTATATGAACATGGATTTTTGTAGGAAGTTTCTACACTTCTGAAATTACAAGTCAGTTGCTAATATAAACATACAATTAATTAATCATCCTGTCTCACATCTATCTACCCCAGGCCATTGTTCCTAGAATTTTCATTCAGCACTTTGTACTTAGAGACAGCACTTAGAGTAGCCTTCTTTTACCTTTTGGATCAAATCTCTGTAGCTCAGTTCTTTTCCTTCTCTCAAAGCTCCATTATCCATGCATTGGTGACCGACATTGAGCTTAAAATTCATTACAACTTTTTCTTAAGTCTTTTCACACGATCTGTTGTCTAAGCAACATACTTACGTAGCTGATTTTTTTTAACCTAAGTGTAAGACTTTAACATTTCTGTATATTAAATTTCATCTCACTAGGTTTGGAACTTTGTTCTTTGCAGATATTTTAGAACTTAATTATGTTGCCCAGCTTATTATCTATTCCTCCCACCTGTTAAATCTTAAATAGGACAGGTCGAGGACATAGGAAGAGCTGTTAGGTAGTTCCTTCTTGGTTGATATTGATTCATTAAACACTATTCTTTGGTTCTTCTATTTTTTTGTCCTTTAATTCAACTAATTGTTTTCTCATATAATCCGCATTTCTCCTTTTTTGGCCTCAAGAATTGTAGGATCATAGACATAGAGCTGGGAAAGACCTTAGAGGTCATCTAATTCAACCCATCATTTTACAGATGAGGACACTGAGACCTAGAAAGTTAAGTATCTTGCTTAAGGTTGTTGAGATCCAAGGCAGTGCTCTTTCCACTCCAGCATACTGAGAGACTTAACAGGAGAGCTTACAGTACTTGTCTTAAAGTGATTGGCCAATATTCCCTTAGGTTCTGCTAAAAGGCAGAGCTGTCTTTTTGTCAACCTCTGTCTCCGTGGAAGTCGTTACTATCAGCTATAGCTTTATGGTCTCTGTTGTCCTTGAAGTCAGCTAATAAGTGAAACCTTGAGAGTAAACATGAGCTTACCAAGCAAAGTATTGGCCCAGTAGAGCTGTCAATATTTACTTTAGAGCTGAATTTGACTCTCAGTTAATACTGTTCCTCTTGGGAAAATTATTGGCATTTCTAAATGTTAAAGCATACTCTAAAAATTCTGAAGTTTTCCACTTGTAGGTTAACTGAATTAACAAATGAATCATTACTTTTTAAAAAATATTTTCTCTCTGTTTGTGCAGGAAGTGTTGTTGGTTTAAAAGGAAATCCTGGCCAATGTGCTTACAGTGCTAGCAAAGGAGGATTAGTTGGTTTCTCTCGTTCTCTTGCTAAAGAAGTTGCAAGAAAGAAAATTCGAGTGAATGTCATTGCCCCAGGTCAGTGTAAGTTTATGGATATGAAACACACACACACACACACACACACACACACAAATGGTAATGGGAAGAAAAATATCTTGTACCTTTTTTTCTTTCAGTCCTAATTTTTTTTAATCTTTGGAAGAATGTTCTATGTTTTCTAGGAAGTGATGTTGATAAATAGAGTCTTCTTCAGATTTATTTTTATAGCATGAAAATATATAGATTCTTTTGTTTTTGTCTTGATTTTTGTCTGCTCTCAGTTTTCCAGGTACTGAACATCTGATTTTTTTTATTAGACCTCAGTTTCTTTTCCTTTTTTCTACTAATGCTTTCTTTTTTAAATGCTTGTTCTTCTGTATTGACTGTACTGTATTGATGACTATAAAGATAATATAACTTTTTGTAAAAAGTCCTTTTTATGGCTTATTAGGAAGTATACAAAGATTGGTTAAAGATTAAACTTTTAATGGAAGTTGATATTTCAGTGTAATCATGCCACTTAGTCAAAAATATTTTGTTCCCGGGGCAGCTAGGTGGCACGGTGGATAGAACACTGGCCCTGAAGTCAGGAGGACCTGAGTTCAAATGCGACCTCAGACCACTTGACACGTACTAGCTGTGTGACCTTGGGCAAGTCACTTAACTCGGATTGCCTCACAAAAAAAAAAAATTTTGTTCCCGACTACCAAAGATAGTTGATATTGAGTGTTATCAGATATAGGACAGCTATTATTTTTACCCACTGATTAGATTAGTATGAGGGAATAGACTTGTACTACTCTTCTTTTAGGAATTAAGGAATTCAACCATTCCTTAATGGTTGAAGATTGAATGGTGAAACTAGTACTCAGGATAGCATTTTAGTTGTTAAACTGGTAGACCATAAGAGATTGTTCAAAATGTTGTGTTTGTGGGGTGGAGTTCCCTAAGTTTTATATAGGGTTCTATTGGGTTAGTCCAAATCTATATAATTTAGTGAGTAATGGGTCAGGACCATTAGTCTTTATAAGTGACCTCATTCATTAGATGTATTGCCACCATCTCGGTACTGCCTTCATTGCATTATCCTAAACAGGAAGGTTTATGTGTACTTTCGAAATTAAGCTGATTTTAAAATTGGATTAGACAAAATAGAATCAACAAAGAAAATTTACCCAGAGTCATATATAATATTATACTTCAGACAAATGAATGATTGTGGATTATTGGCTGTTATAGATTAACTGTATTATTGTTTTCTGAAATTTTGGAGAAATCTATATAAGTGTGAATTATTATTAATTAAAAATTGACTAATTATAAATCCATTATATGCTCTTCTCTGCTACTCTAAGAACATGATCTCAGGAGGTTAGTGGGTTCTCTGGAGGTCATTCCCTAATAATTGTTGCATATTTTATAATACTAATATTGCTGAGTACCAAGAAATTTGTACAAAACATGGGATTTGATTAGGAAACTAGCTGAGGGTTTTCCCCTCCCAGTTTTGTTTTGTTTTTTTTTAAATTAAAGGGTCTATCCCTTGACTCACGTCTTAAAGAGGCCTATTCACCGAATGGGTGTTGCCTCACTCAGGGTCTCCCATTGCATCCTGGGCCATCTCCAGTCGTCCTGATGAATATCTGGCCACTGGACCCAGATGGCTCTGGAGGGGAAAGTAAGGCTGGTGACCTTGCATAGCCCTCCCTCACTAAAAGCAAAGTCAATTGCAAGTCATGTCATCATCTCCCTGATGTCGTGGGCTTCTTCGAGAACAAAGGACAAACACAACAAAACAACAACAAAAAAGAAATGAAGTCATTTTGTTAAGAATTATTTAGTGTTTAGCATCTTTTGCTGCTAATTTGTTCCCATATCTAAAGGCCCATTCTAATTTTACAAGATCCTTACTGCTTTCTGATTTTCTTTTTTAGGTATAATCATGTATCTGTGGAATGACTATTTAAAATCTATTTAAATAAAGACTGATCTTTGTTCTGCATAAAGATTTATTTTCCTGGAGTCTGTCCTTTTTCATAGTATGCATTTTTGTTCAGATTAGGTTGTGTAATGCTTAAAGTTATAATTGTTTCTTTAGTTGATACTTAAGTTCAGAACATGCTTTTTTGGAAACTGTTTTGTCTAATTCATTAAGTTACTTCATTCTTAACTTTTAACTGTCCAGGTTCAGACAAACAACATCACAACCAGTTATGATCAGAAGGTTTTTTTTTTTTCCTTTATGGCATAGAAAGAATTGCATCAAGTTAGCCCACCAAATCTTTGTCATGTCTGATTCTGCTGCTGTGATAAAGACATAGGCTTATTTTGTAGCTTGTAAATCTATGGGTTTCCTGAACTCCTCTAATATGGAACTAATTCATATCTTAGTAGACACAACTCAGCTAAATAACACAAACATTTCTTTTTTTTTTAAAGGACTTATCCATACAGATATGACTAAAGGGATGAAAGAAGAACAGTTAAAGAAAAATATTCCCCTTGGGAGATTTGGAGAACCTAGTGATGTGGCACACGCTGTTGTTTTTCTTCTAGAATCTCCTTATATTACAGGGCATGTTCTGATTGTTGATGGTGGATTACAGCTTGTTTTATAAAGTGGGCACTATTCAGTAATAATAGTGTTTTGAATTAAGATTATATTTAATTTTGTTAGCAACTACTGAATCATAAGTGAATGAATGATAATTAAACCTATAAAATAACTAGTTATTCCTTATTTCCAAAGTTCATTTGATGGTGTTTATGTGATCAAGTAAGACCTAAAAGGGATGATGTTTGATCAATACTGTGCAGATGTGAAATCAGTTCTTTGGTTGTCTTATGTGCCATGAAATGCATAATATGCAGAGTCATTTTCCAAAGGATGAAACCTTTACTGAGTTATATATAGGGTTATGTTCACTTGGTCATCTGTTTGTGCATTTAAATGAGAGAGAACATATTTTTTAATCTTCTTTTTATTGATTTTTTTTTCTACATCACATTCATTTTGAAATATATCCCTCCCCCCCATCCACTGAGCCATTCTTTGCAACAACAAATTTTTTTAAGAAGTGGGGGAAAAGTATATCCAACCAACCATATCCATGCAACATTCCACACTCAGTTTGCTGTCTCTGCAATGAAATGGAAAGGTGGCTGTATTTTCTTAACTTTTTGGAGCCACATTTAGTCATTAGTGATTGGGGAGGGGAGAAAAATTTTAAATTCAAAAGCATATGGAAGTGATTGTTGATAAATCAAAATAAATTAATTAAAAAAAACTACATTTATCCCATTCAACCTTCCAGTCAAGATTCTCCCAGGACCCTCCCCCAGTCACCCCAGCTTACTCTGTAACTTGAAAGGCATCCTAAAGTCCTTTCCCCCTAATCTTGAACCTGTACCAAAAAAATTGTTTTTGTGTCCCTTATCCTATGTTCCCCCTGTCCTTTAATTTTTAACATGTCCCCTCATGCCCTGTTCTTTAAAGCCTTAAACTATAAAGGATTCCATTTGTCCCCTTTATCTTATGTCATAAAATCCTTCTTTGACATGTCTCTAATCTTTAACCCCCATAAAAACTTCTAAAACTACATCATCCTTTTGAAACTTCTATATAAGCATAACTTCCCCAAATATCAGGGTCTCTTTAAGTTTTTACAATCTAAGAGAATTTTAGAAATACAATTTAGAAAAACAAACAACAAACTTCAGATTTTCAGATTATCACTTTTGGTACTTTTTTTTTTATTCTGAGTACCCCTTCCCCTAATCTGTCCTCCCTTCTATCTCCCTCTCTCTTCTCTTATCACTTTCCCCTTCTGTTTTCCTATAGGGCAGGATAGATTTCTATACCCCATTGCCTGTATATCTTATTTCCCAGTTGCATGTGAAAACAATTATTAACATTTGTTTTTAAAACTTTGGTTTCCAAATTTTCTCCTTTCCTCCCTCCCCACCCACCCTCATTGAGAAGGCAAGCAACTCAATATAGGTTATACATGTGTAGTCATTCAAAACACTTCCATAATAGTCATGTTGTGAAAAACTAATTATATTTCCCTTCATCCTATCCCGCCCCATATTTGACCCTATTCCTCCTTAAAAGGAAGTGTTTGGGTCTGATTACCACCCCCCTCCCCTTTATCATCACCCTGCTCTCTTATACCCTTCCCCCCTATTTTCCTGTAGGGTAAGATAGATTTCCATACCCAACTGAGTGTGTATGTTATTCCCTCCTGAAGCCAAATCTGATGAGAATAAGATTCACTCATTCCCTCTCACCTTCCCCCATTTCCCCTCCACTGTAAAAGCCTTTTCTTGTCTGTTTTATGTGAATTAATTTACCCCATTCTACCTTGTCCTTTCTCCTTCTCCAAGTATAATTCTCTCTGAACACTTAATTTTATTCTTTAGAATGCCTTAAAAAAGCAGAATTGGGCAATTGGAAAAGGAAGTCCAAAAGCTCACTGAAGAAAATACTCCTTCATCTTCAACTCATCCTGTCCCCTCTATCTATCTATCTATCTATCCATTCATATAATGTTTTCCCTCCAACTACCCTAATACTGACAAAGGTCTCATGAGTTACAAATATCATCTTTCCATGCAGGAATGTAAACAGGTCAACCTTAATAAGTCCCTTATGATTTCTCTTTCCTGTTTACCTCTTCATGCTTCTCTTGAGTCTTGTATTTGAAAGTCAAATTTTCTATTCAGCTCTGGTCCTCTATTTCACTGAATTCCCATTTTCTCCCTTGAAGGATTATACTCAGTTTTGCTGGGTAGGTGATTCTTGGTTGTAATCCTATGTCCTTTGACTTCTCGAATATTATATTCCAACACCTGCGTTCCCTTAATGTAGAAGCTGCTAAATCTAATCCTGATTGTGTTTCCACAACACTTGAATTGTTTCTTTCTGATTGCTTGCAGTATTTTCTCCTTGACCTGGGAACTCTGGAATTTGGCTACAGTATTCCTAGGAGTTTTCCTTTGGGGATCTCTTTCAGGAGGTGAACAGTGGATTCTTTCCATTTCTATTTTGCCGTCTGGTTCTAGAATATCAGGGCAGTTTTCCTTGATAATTTCTTGAAAGACGATGTCTAGGCTCTTTTTTTGATCATGGCTTTCAGATAGTCCAATAATTTTAAAATTATCTCTCCTGGATGTATTTTCCAGGTCAGTTGTTTTTCCAATGAGATATTTCACATTGCTTTCTATTTTTCCATTCTTTTGGTTTTGTTTTACAATGCCTTGATTTCTCATAAAGTCACTAGCTTCCATTTGCTCCATTCTAATTTTTAAGGAAGTATTCTATTCAGTGAGCTTTTGGTCTTCCTTTTCCATTTGGCCAATTCTGCTTTTTTAAGGCATTCTTCTCCTCATTGGCTTTTTGGACCTCTTTTGCCATTTGGGTTAGGCTGTTTTTTAAGGTGTTATTTTCTTCAGTATTTTTTTGGGTCTCCTTTAGCAAGCTGTTGAGTTGTTTTTCATGATTTTCTTGCATCACTCTTATTTCTCTTCCCAGTTTTTCCTCTACTTTCCTTACTTGCTTCTCAAAATCCCCTTTGAGCTCTTCCATGGCCTGGGACCAATTCAAATTTTTCTTGGAGGCTTTGGATGTAGGAGCTTTGACTTTGTGGTCTTCTGGTCTTTGTCACCAAAGAAAGATTCTATGGTCTGACTTTTTCACAGTTTGCTCATGATCCTAGCCAATTACTTGAGTTATAAATTCTTTGTTAAGATAGGGGTCTGCTTCCAGTGTGGGGAATGCACTGTCCCAGGCTTCGGGGGTTTTGTGCAGCTGTTTTCAGGGATACTTCTAGGGATTTGTAAATTTTCAGTTCTTCCAAGGTGGCATGATCAAGGGCGAGGTGTTAACTCCTTTCCTGGCTTGTGCTCTGTTCTCTGAGTGACCATAAGCACTCTTTTCTGCCTTGGAACTATGAGAATTCCCTCTCTCCACTACAAGCTCCACCACACCAGCACTCCTCCTCACCCCAGGACTGCCACCCAGAACTGCAACCCAGATCCAAGCATAAGCAAAGCAAGAGAATCCTGCCTCAGCACCAGCAAAGAGATCCCTGCAATCCCTCTCTGATCAGCCATTCAGTTCTCCCTCTGTCTGTGGGCCGAGCTCAGGAAGCAGCCACCACCCCAGGGATGTGCCAGGACTGGGACTGGGACTGAGCTTCTCTCTCATCAGGGTCAGAGACTTTTCCTACTGTCCTTCTAAGCTGTCTTTGGCATTTGTGGACTAAGAAGTCTGGAAATCACTACAGCTGCCCATGATTCAGTCCTCTGAGGCCTGCTCCAGGTATGCTGAGGCTTGGTTTTTACTTGCATGCCCACGTTGACTTGTGCTCCTCTCCCAGCCTGGTGCAATAGACCTTTCCAATCAACCATCCAGGTTGTCTTGGGCTGGAAATTTGTTTCATTCTGTCTTTTTGTGGGTTCTGCTACTCTAGAATTTGTTTAGAGTCATTTTTTTTATAGGTATTTGGAGGGGTTTGGGGGAGAGCTCAAGCAAGTCACTGATTTTACTCAGCCATCTTGGCTGCGCTCCTCCATTAACATTTATTCAGTGAAGGGAAAAGATTTTGTTTGTGACAAGCTGGCAAGGATACTTTTGAACTGTGATAGTGGATGGTAGTGTTTCCTAGAAACTCCCAAATCATACCTAATGTAACTCTAGCCCTGCTGATGGTGATGGGTTAAAAGTAACAATTTAGGATATCTAGGTGAGTGGTGAAATGGTCTAAAGTATCTTTCCATTGACTGACCAATGACCTATTATTATTATTGCCTAATAATAATAACTGGCATTTATATAATGCTTTAAATTTTGGAAACCACTTTACATGTGGTTTCATTTTGTCATCAACAACCCTGTAAGGTAAGTACTATTGTTATCCTCATTTACAGATGAGGAAACTGAGGCTGAGATGTTGAGTGACTTGCCGAGGGTCACACACCTAGTAAATTCTTGTGGCAGGATTCAAACTCAAGTATTCTAGACTCCAAGTGTAACACCGTATCCATAGAACCACCTAGTTGCTTTGGTTAGCAAAACAATAAATACTGTCTCAGCTAACACTTTCATTCATAGCTAAAGTTGTGTTTAATTCTTTTCATAAGTAAAGGATGTTTAGAAAAAATGCCCCAAGAATTGTTTATAAATATCCTTTATCACTATAAAGGATTCACAAATACTACTGTTGATAAGCTGAGAATCCTTAATTAAGACAACAACCATCAGTTAAATAGATCTGTCAAGCTAAGGAAAAAAGTAACTTAACACAGAAGTTCTGTTAATTTGCTGACTGATGGACCTTGGTTTTGACTAATGCTGATACTGAGACAATTTAAAATTCTTATGTTATCTATATTACCTTGAACCGTGGGTTTAAATGATTCAACAAATTGCCTTGGTATAAGAAGTTTCCATAGTAGGGACTCCTCCCGCTGATGAAACCATAGGTTCAAACTGTATCCAGATCTCAACAAAAACAAAAAACTTAACTGCACAATGTCAAGATATTAGGAGATAGCATGTTTTCCAGAGCTAAGACCCAGCAAGCGGGCTGTGCCCTGATCTTAGCATAACAACAATCCTTTGCGCTCACTCTCAGGATAATCTCAGTCATAGCAAAATCCCAGAATTGTTTCATACCAACTTCAAGTGGTCTCTGAGCTTGGACAAGCACCTGTAGTACCCATGTCCCACTCATGAAGTCCTACTATGAATCAAACTTGTCACATTGTTGCTGTCACCCCTCATTGTCAGGGCTACAGCCCACTGCACAGCCATGGGTATAAGTACTGAGATCTCCCCACACTGCCTTGGCCCGCCCCCCACTAGGGGCAGGGCTCTGGCACATGTGTTTCTTGCTTGTAAGCCATTTCCCTCACTTTCAAATTAAACTTCTGTTTGATTCTTGACTCTTCTGTCTCTATCCTGCTTTGTTCCGCTC